ATTTTTTTGTATTTTTAGTAGAGATGGGGTTTCTCCATGTTGGTCAGGCTGGTCTCAAACTCCTGACCTCAGGTGATCCACTTGCCTCGGCCTGCCAAAGTGCTGAGATTGCAGGTGTGGGCCACCGTGCCCCGCCTAGGTGGACTCCCCTAAAGAGTTTGGGAAATGATGCCTCCTCCTGTTGGATTTTATGACCCCATGATCATTTCTGGGCCCCTCAATAAACGCTGTGTGTAACTCAGTTTTTTTTTATGTTTCACAAATTGATTAGTTTAAATGAAAAATTAATGCTATTTTGAAGTTTGGGAATTTTATGACAGCCCCTTGGGCACCAGAAACCCGGAGCAGGCCTCTCTTTTGGAGCAGATGCATGTGCTGGTTAAGAAGCTCTGCGGCAGCTCACACCTGTAATCCCAGCACTTTGGGAGTCCAAGGCGGGAGGATCAAGAGGTCAGGAGTTCAAGACCAGCATGACCAATATAGTGAAACCCTATCTCTACTAAAAAATACAAAAATTAGCCAGATATTGTGGCGCACGCCTGTAGTCCCAGCTACTCAGGAGGCTGAGGCAGGAGAATCGCTTCAACCTGGGAGATGGAGGTTGCAGTGAGCCAAGATCTCGCCACTGCACTCCAGCCTGGGTGACAGAGTGAGACTCTGTCTCTAAAAAAAAAAAAAGAAAGAAAGAAAAGAAAAGAAAAAGAAAAAAGAAAAGAAAACAAAGGTTTTGGTTTCTTCTTTCAGGTTTAGGTTTAAGGTTTCATGTCACCATGTCCAGCTAGGTGGTGTTAAGCAAATGGCCTCACGTCTCTCCAAGCATCCGTTTCCTCATTTGCACCATGGGGCTATTAACTGTTGATGTGAGTGTTAGTGTTAGGAGGGACTCAGCAGACTCTCTGGTGGAAAATAAGAGTCAATTAAAAGAGCCTTCATCATCATCATCATCATCCTTCACTTATTAACTTCAGGGATAATAAACATTTAAAAAGAAATCCGCAAATACTTCTTCAGAAAACTAGAAAGTGTTTTTCCAGGTACACAAAAAAAATCCCCATTGACCCTCCTCTGAAAAGTCATCAATAATCAGCTCCCAGGCTGGGCATGGTGGCTCATACCTATAATACCAACAGTTTGGGAGTCTAAGGCAGGAGGATCACTTGAGCCCGGGAGTTCAGGACCAACCTGGGAGACATGGTGAGACCCATCTCTCAAAAAAAAAAAAATAATTAGACGGGGATGGTGGCAGGTGTCTGTAGTTCCAGCTACTTGGGAGGCTGAGGTGGGAAGATCACTTGAGTCAGGAAGTTAAAGGCTGCAGTGAGCCATAATTGCACCATTGCACTGCAGCCCGGGTAACAGGGCAATTACCAGCTCTGCAGGCAATGCTTGCAGGCCTTTCTAAGGTTCTGCTCACTGTGCAGCCACAGGGCTTGTCAGCCTCTGGGTCCAGATGCATGACAGGACAGGCAGTGACCACCATGTACCGAAGGCTTCCATGTGCCAGATCCCGTACTTGGAATTGTTATACTTCTTAGCCATCAACTGAGGAGGGATGGAGACAGGAGGGGGAAAGAAGGGAAGGGAGGGTGGAATAGATCAAGGAACCCATTCTCTGCAGAAGTCCTTTGTCCAGTTTGGAGACTAGTTTTCATCAGGCACACCTGTTTCCATTCTCTGACTCAGATGCCCTATCACCAACCCCACTGCCCCAAACCCAATGTGAAATGAATACCTATTGTTAGTCCTATCTGTATATCTGACCTGAAACATGACAACCTTTAAGGCAGTGGTTCTCAAGCAGGGGCAATTTTGCCCTCCCTATCCCCAGAAAAAATTCGGCAGTGTCTACAGATACATTTTCTGTTGTTACGGTTTTAGAGAGATCATGAGCTCCTACAGGGTAGCGGTCCATGATGCTGCTAGACATTGTACAATGCAAGGACAGTTCTCACAATAGAGAATTATCTGGCTCCAAATGTCAATAGTGTTAAGAAACTCCGCTTGAAGGAAAAACCAGCCCCACACACCTCACTTAACTCACTAAGGTTAACAAATGGGCGGTTTGCCAAATGCCATGGATTAAAAAGCCCTACCTTGAGTGACTCTTTTTCTATGGCCCGACACATTTCTGTACAATTTAGCAAGTAAAGAGTCCTTTCAAGAAATGATTCTTCGTTATTTGTTGCTGGATCATCATCATTTCATTCAGTCATCCACGCATTCATTCAACACACACTCACTGAGCTCCCTCTACACTGGTGACAGACTCTAGGGATAGAAGATGAACAAGATGAGGCTCCATCCATGCTCAAGTTTAAAGTGTGTGTATTAGGGTTTGGGGGACAGATGTGTTAGTAAATAATTACAGTGATGTTCCAGGTAAAAAGTTCTCATGAGATGCATGGGGGTGGGGCCGCAGAGCGGGGGTGTGCTCAGTATTTCTTATGGGAGGCCTCAGAAAACTGCCCTATTTGGCCATCACCACTTTTTGGGTTCCACTTACAAGGGTCACTTCTGACGCCTCCCTGTATGGAGTAGAGGGAGAGTGGTAATAAGCAATTTGCCCTCAGTGACCTCCCTCCATTAGGAAGATGCCTATAATTCCCCTCAAGGGGGAGCTTCTAATGAATAAAAAATTATTTGAACACACTTAGATTTCAGAATCAAATGTCTGACCACCCAGAGTCAAACAGAAGGAAAGCAGGGCTCCAGAGGCTGGGAAATATTCCAACCAAAGTAGGTCAGTTTCACTCCTATTTATTACAGGAGTTCTCAGCCAAGAAGTGTGAGATATAAGGTCTACAGAAGCCATAAAGTAATCCGAGGGCCACAACTTATACACAGAAAACCATCTTATGATTATGTAAGACAGTAATGTGCCGTGGCTCATGCCTCTAATCCCAGCACTTTGGGAGGCAGAGGCAGGCGGATCACCTGAGGCCAGGAGTTTGAGACCAGTCTGACCAACATGGAGAAACCCCATCTCTACTAAAAATACAAAAAACTAGCTAGGCATGGTGGTGTATGCCTGTAATCCCAGCTACTCAGGAGACTGAGGCAGGAGACTCGCTTGAACCTGGGATGCGGAGGTTGCAGTGAGCTGAGATCGCGCCATCGCAGTCCAGCCTGGGCAACAAGAATGAATTCCGTCTCAAAAAAAAAAAAGAAAGAAAGAAAAAAGAAAGAAAGAAAGAAAGAAAGAAAAGAAAAAAAGGAAAAAAAGGAAAAAGAAGGGGCATAACAGACAGAGCCCTGGATGGTTGGGAATCAAGAGACCTGGGTGCTAACCTTAGTGGGTTAAGTGGGGTGTGTGGGGCTAGCAGAGCTGCTAGTCCTGGCTCTGCTACTAACTTGCTGATGTCGGGCAGCTCCCTTCTCTCTGAGGGTCTCAGTGTGCTCATTTTTAAAATAAGGGATTGGGGCCAGAGCCTAATGAAGCATCCTTCCAAGGTACACTGAAGACTTAAACCAAGGGAAGCCTCTCATTTTCCCCTTCCACTTATTCCTGTGATAATCCAGGAATTTTCTTGAGACAAGAATGCAGACTGAACCTCAGTCCTGCACTTGAGGTACCAGTTATGACAGTCTCAGAGTCACTGCAAATACTTAAGAAGGAGGCTGGGAGGGTCCCAAGGAAGGAGCTATTGCCTCTCCTACCCCTAGCCACGGAATAACACACCTCCAGGCTCTACCTGGCTTGACACTGTCCCCAGTATCCCAGTTGGCATTTCTCCAAACTGGGAGTCGAAACTCATGAGTGCATGCTGTTGCTCTAGCATCTTCCAAGGCCAGCACTGCCACTGAAGAGAGGAGGCTCCACCGTGGAAAGGGAGTTCCAAGCAAGCTCCAAATTGCACTCATCCCAACTACTGCTGCTGAAAGTCTTGGGGCTACCAGAAAAATGAGCATCTCCTGAGTGTCAACATTGGGAGCATTGATTTTCCTTATAATCCAACCGGAGGGGACTACGGGAAGACAAGGAGGTTGGACACCAGGAGACTTGCCCAGGACAGAGATCAGAGACTCAACTGGGTCCCCAAGCACTTTCCCTAGGAGCTTCTTGGAACAGACACCTTGGGGACCAGTTTGGAATGCTAGTGGGAAGGGATGATTCTGGAATCTGGCCCCCACCTCTAACCCCCACTCCCTCCCCATTCCTTCCTTTCTGCTGGTCTGGGTGGGGCCACTCTCTTTATCACAGATCCCAGAGCTCCGAGAGGCCGGAGACTCCCAGGAATTTCTGTAGGAAAGAAAAACAAACCACCCATCCTGCCGCTATTATTATTGGTAGTAGTATTTTCCTCCTCCAGCCCCTTGCCAGGACCTGGCTTTGGGGAACAGCAGCACCCAGCAGCCACCAGACACGCAGACATTAGGGAGCCGCGTCCCACACGAGAGGGTGTGGGGAGAGTGGCAGACGGTCCCATCGCAGACCCGGAAGCTCTTGCCGGAGCTCCCTTCAGGTTTTCCCATCTGCAGCCCGTGAGTGTGAAAATGTCAAGGTTTGGGGGCAGACTGATACTGATGTGGGTTGCAATCCTCTTCTTCTGACTTGGAGCAAGAATTGTTATTCCCCCTCTCATTTCCTTTCCTTGTCTATAAAGTGAGGATGGTAATAGCAGCCTCGAAAGGTGATTGAGAGGTTTCAAGGAAAGATTGGAGGCAAAGCGCCCAGGACACAATAGGCACTGCCCGGGGCGGCTCCAGAATTTCCGTCTAGGAGTGTCTCAGAAGCCAGGCTAGAGGAAGGGGTGGGTGGGGGGCACGGGGATTCATCTTGGAGCTGCCTTCGCCTGGCGCGCACAAGGTTTTTCTTTGGGAAGGGGTCCCTGCGGAGAAGAGCTGGGAGAGATTAATGTTGGGAGGATTGACAGGGAAGAGTCCCCATTCCTCAGCGGAAGATCTGCTAGTCCCCTCCACCCGCATCCTGCCAAGGCCGGAGAAGCGGCGAGACTGTCGCTCCCTGGGTCCCCTAGCCTTCAGAAGGGGGCAGTACTCACCGAGTGCGCGGCGCAGACGAGCAGCACCCGCAGTAGTAGCTGCTGCAGCGGCGGCGACAGGTGGGGACGCATCGTGCCCGCACGTTCCCCGAGGGCGCCCCGACGTCCACCCGCCCGTGCCCTTTGCCCACTCGGGAGTTCAGCGCCCCGCGCACGATCCCGGGCTCCGGCCGGCCGCTGCGCCCAGAGGAGCCATGGCTGAGCCACCCGACCTGCGGCGGGCCCGGGGACTGCTCCTCCTCGGACCAGGTGGCCGCGCGCGCTCAGCCGCCCAGCCCATTGATTAGGACGCGGCGGCTCCGGCGCGCTTCCTCCACCCGGCGGGGGACTGGCTGGGGGCCGGCGCGGAGGCCAGCAGGGGAGGAGGAAGAGGGAGGGCGCGGGGGCCGGAGTAGGCTCCCGCAGTCTGGGCCCAAGCTGGAGGAGGCCAGGAGAGGGCACGCTGGCTTAGTCTTCCACGCGGCAATCCCGCACTACCCCAGGTCCAGAAAGAGCACTGTTTCTGGAGTCCACGGACCGAAGGCGCAAGCTCGCTAGGGGGTCGGTGGGCAACTTAGGTCACCTTTGTAAGCCTCGGCTTTCTCAGCCCTAACAACACATCTGAGAATACCCACTCTCAGACTGAAAGTTGTGACACAGTCAAGGCCCATTGCATCTATTCTCCCCAGACAGCTACTTGCACTTTATTTCCGATTTTCTGTATTTTTTTCTTAATTATTGAAGTCATTAGCTCCCATTCCATGAAGTTTCACTCCGATGAGCTCCTCCTTTGATGATGACCAAGGAAGATCTGTGGTATACTCAGGCATCTGGGGACTGTCCTGAGGATGAACCGCCTGGGAAGCTATTTAAGCCTCAGGCAGATAGTCCCAGTAGCCCACTCCAAGGGTGCTCCCTATCCTGGAGTACAAGGCGCCCCAGATGGCCTTTTTTTTACTGTCACATAAAAAAGAGGGTTTCACCATGTTGCTCAGGCTGGTCTTGAACTCTTGGGCTCAAGAGATCCTCTTACCTCGGCCTCCCAAAGTGCTGGGATTATAGGCATGAGCCACTGAGTCCAGCCCTAGATGGGTCTTGTAAACTCAAGTTTTCTTTGTCTGCACTGGTGCCTACTCCCTTCCCTCTTCTCTCTCCCCCTTTCTTTATCTTTCTCCCAGGCACTTGAAGTACATCAGCTCATTTAATTCTCCCTCAAACCCCTAGGTGATATGATGCCCATTTGACAGAGGAGGGCGGGCATTGAAGGTGGAGGAGGTTTCATTACATGTCTGGGTACTGCAACTCAGAGGCTCAGACAGGAAAGCCTGGATCTACCCTTCCATGGCTGACCTGACTCTCTGTAACTGGCCTCTACTCAGACGGCCATGCAGCTAGTAAAGTAACAATGTGCTCTTGTCCTTAGCAGCCTTCCCTACCAGAAGAGACTGTTAATAAATCAAGGCTGGTAAATCCCAGAAGAAATAAAAGGGAGGAAAATCCATTCAGCTTCTAGGTCCAAAATCAATGCTCAGTACACATCAAACCTAAAGTATACATAATCACCAACTTCCTTCTAGAAACTCTTTCTACATAAATACTCACCCAAGGGCCTAATGAAATGTGCAAGGATGTTTGCGGAAGCACTGTGACAGTGGCAGGAAATGAGATGATATATGGGGAGAGGGAACCACCCTTATTTCTTTCTTTCTCATGGGCAGCAGTCATTACTATAATGCTCCTGACTTGTTTCTACCCCTTCACCCTCTCTCTGTCTGTATCCCTCTCTATCACGCGCACCCAGACACATGCATGCATGCATGCATGTATACACAGGTGAGACCAGTTTACATGACTGATGCATTCAGAATAAGGAACTGGCATGAGTTCGGTCCCCTCCTCTCTCCTTCCTTTCACAGTGTGCCCCGCTACGGAGAACCTGTAACTGGATTTCCCTGGGCCAGGCTGTGATTGGTGGTCGAGGCTCTAGTGGAACTGGTCCAGTACCACCAGTGACAGGGTAGTGGTCTCTCTAATTCTGGGGTTTAGTTAGGAAACCGCTTGCCCACAAGTACAAACCACATTCCGCAATACTGACTTTATAAAGTGGTATTTGGCCCCATCTGTCTTGATCTTATTTCTCAATTGGTTCAAGATTCAGGCTGGAAAGAAAAATGTTATTTCCTAGGCTCCTTGAACCTCAGCATCCTAAATGTCCATCGCAAAGGGCGTGAGGTAAGGATTTGCAGTTTTTACTATACAGACTTCTGTGTTGTTTGAATATTTTCTGTAACAATGCTGTGTATGGCTGTTTGGGGTTGAAATAAATAAAAAGAAAACAACACAAAAATGCGATCCGTGCTTTATACCAGAGCCTCATGATATCTGATGAAAAAGCAAAACAACATTAGTTCTGGGCAATTCAATAAATTTCTGGCCTGTAGCAAGCCATTCTTGCTTAAACGGGAAGCTCTGCCTCTCGGAGAGTTGAGAAAAGGGATTGAAGTGCCCCTTGAAAGGTCCTTAAAACCTGCCTGAAACAACAGTTTCACAATAGGGGTAGAAGGGAAGAGGTAGGGAAACTAACCATATATTTACCACCTATCGTATGCTGGGGAGTCTGTTAGGAAGCTCGGGTGTGTTATCATATCCAGTCCTCCAAGACCATATAAGAGATGGGAACTTGAGGCTTAGGAAAGATAAATGCTTGCCTCTATCAGCACAGCTAATAAGGGGAGAAGCCAGGATTTGAATCCAGGACTGAGCCCAAGCCTGTGTCGTGAAGGAAACCAAATATTTTGCCCCAAAATATACTTATTTGACATACTTTGAGATGACTGTTCGGAGGGCCTCCAAACAGAAGCGGCCCTGCAAAGCTGTCTTTTATTGGGGAGATTGCATCTGGAGACAGAACTCTGCACTGATGCAGCCAGGCTGTCTTTGTGGAACCTCCCCGTGTCCAGATCTAAGAAAGGTTAACTGAGAGTTAGACACCTTAACGGTCTGAAAGACACACACACACACACACACACACACACACACACACACACACACGCACGCACCATTTGTCCTCTCTCAGGCCTGCTACCTGTGAGGTTTCATCTGCATAACAAGCCCAGCTTTACCAGCCAGGCCTCCTCTTCTCCACCACCCCCCAACCTATTTTGCCACACACCATAAGCCCCCATTCTTCCTGTAACTTCAAGATGGTATATGAAAGTGTCCGCCCCCTGGCCATTTCTTTGAGTTCTTGTATTTTGAAAGACTCCTGTGCACATTTTGAAATTTGCATGCCTTTTTTCCTATGAATCTGCCCTTTTTTTCAGTTGATTTTCAGTGGAACTTCAGAGGGCAAAGGAGAAGTTTTTCCTTGGTGCCTACAGCTCTTTACACAGTACTAGGATTCCTCTCCAACATGGAGATGGTCTCCTTACACTTAGGGCTTGACAAGCTCTTTTGTGCACATCTTCTTATTAATTAAAAGAGCTCTGTGAGGTAGGTAGGGGCCAGCAGGCAGGGGCCTGGCAGGAGAAGGAGAAACTGTTGCTCAAATGGTTTAATCAAAGGGAGTTTAATGAAAGGACTATGTGCAGGGCGTAGGCAGGAACCAGCAAGGGATGGTGAGGTGGAGGGATCAGCAACAGGAGGTCTGAAGGGTGATGAAGACTCTCCTTGACTAAAGTTTAGTCAGGCTCCTCTAGCCCTCTTCCCAACTAAGCCTCGACCTTGGCTCCCCATCCTGTTTCCAGTTTCCCTAGCCCAGTCTCGGTAAGGATCCTGTGAAGTAAGTTTAGGAAGAACTCCTACTCCACTCTTGATATCTCATCACTTTTGATATCTGCTTCAGTTCCTCATTTTCTACCTTTGATATTTAAGCCCTTGGTCTGCCTTTAGCAAGAATCCTATTTAGAAGGTTTACAAGAATCCTGCCAGCCTTGATATCTCCTCTTAGTAATTTTCCATCCACTGACCCTTACCGTGCTCCTTGGCTGTAAATCCTCACTTATCCTGGTTGTATTTGGAGTAGAGCGATTGCTCCTCCTCACTGCAAAGCTCATGTTGCTATAGTCTTGAAGGAAATCATCCTTACCATTTTAGCAAGTGTCGGAGTAACTTTTTCTTTAACAAGGGACAAAGAGCGAAAGCAGTGCTTCTAAAAGCTGGAAAGAGTTGTTCTTGGGAGAGGGGTCACCTGTAGGAGCTGTTGGGGCTCAGAAACTCTTACCCCAAAATATGGCGTTTGGACATGCTGAACTGAAGAAGGCTTCAGGTCTCTCTGACCTTCCCCTCTACACCCCCGCCCCCACCCTGCTAACCCCTGTCTCTCCCAAAGCATAGGATGAAGTTTTTCCCTCAAGTTCCTTCATCTGCCTAAAGTCAGGGCCCACCAAGAACCATTGTTTTTCTTCTCCTCCCTGGTGTCTCATCATCTATTGCAGAAAAGAAGACCAAGAATGTAACCACACCTGAAGAGACCCTTTTACAAGATGTTTGTGTCTCAGACACATTCAATTCCAAAGGAAGCTATTTACCAGTTAATCTCTGTTCCCCATCCATTCATTCTTCTTAGAAGTCATGTTGCCCCTCAACAGAATGACCCTTCTAGCCCACTCCATAACCTGTATTGCCGCAATCTAAGCCCCCCATTCTTTCTGTAACCTCAAGATGGTATTGAGAAAACTGTTATTTGAGGAATGCAAATCCTTTTAATCATCAGGCCCAGAAAGACATTAAAATGAGACCATATTCACATCTTCCTCCCCACTTTGACCTATGTATTTATCTTTATCTTTTTTTCTTTTCTTTCTTTCTTTCTTTTTTTTTTTTTTTTTTTTGAGATAAAGTCTGTTTCTGTCGCCCAGGCTGAAGTGCAGTGGTGCCATCTCAGCTCACTGCAACCTCCTTCTCCCGGGTTCAAGCAATTATCTTGCCTCAGCCTCCTAAGTAGCAGGGATTACAGGTGTGTGCCACCACACCCGGCTAATTTTTGTATTTTTAGTAGTGATGGGGTTTCACCATGTTGACCAGGATGCTCTCGAATTCCTGGTCTCAAGTAATCCTCCCACCTTGGCCTCCCAAAGTGCTGGGATTACAGGTGTGCGCCACCACGCCCGGCCTATGTATTAATCTCTTGAAATCACTTGCTATTGCCACAAATAGCTACAAATTAACCTAATAATGCCACACTGGACACTATAACCCATACACTATAGCTTACCACGTATAACCAAATACTAATCAATGTTATTCCTGTAAACCAATGAGAATTCTGAACAAACAACTTTGCATCAGCCCGTTCCCTGTCCCTCTTTTC